CGGGCGGATTGCTTCAGGTCAGGAGTTTGAGACCAGCCTGGCCAACATGGTGAAACCCCGTCTCCACTAAAAACAAAATTTGCCTGGCGTGGTGGTGCACGCCTGTAATCCCAGCTACTTGGGAGTCTGAGGCAAGAGAATCACTTGAACCCAGGAGGCAGAGGTTGCAGTGAGCCGAGATTGTGCCATTACACTCCAGCCGGGGTGACAGAGCGAGATTCCATCTCAAAAAAATAAAAACAAAGGCTGGGCAAGGTGGCTCATGTCTGTAATCCCAGCACTTTGGGAGGCCGAGGCGGGTGGATCACAAGGTCAGGAGTTCAAGACCAGCCTGGCCAACATAGTGAAACCCCGTCTCTACTAAAAATACAAAAAATTAGCCGGGCCTGGTGGCAGGCACCTGTAATCCCAGCTACTCGGGAGGCTGAGGCAGGAGAATCACTTAAACCTGGGAGGCAGATGTTGCAGTGAGCAGAGATCGCACCACTGCACCCCAGCCTGGGCGACAGTGTGAGACTCCACCTCAAAAAAACAAAACAAAACAAAAACAAAAAAAACCCCAAAAAACAAACCTATGTACCCTAAACCTAAATGTACTAATTGATCATATTTTGCCACATTTGCTCACCTGTACTCTCTCTCCTGTGTGTGTGCATTTCTTCTCCCTAAATCATTTGAGAGTAATTTGCAAGCAGGCTAGTTACCATTGTTACCTGTCTGGAGTTCCTTTCATATAAAACATATGACCCAAGCTAGATCAATTGAATAGATTACTTTTCGGAATTTGAATCTTGGAATAGGGTAATGAGAGGACAGGATAAAATGATTGATCTTCTCCAGATCTACTGCTGGTTTCAGATAAGATGTTCAAGTATGGCCAGGCGTGGTGGCTCACACCTGTAATCCCAGCACTTGGAGGGACCAAGGCGGGCGGATCACCTGAGGTCAGGAGTTTAAGACCAGCCTGGCCAAAGTGGTAAAATCCTGTCTCTACTAAAAATACAAAAATTAGCCAGGCGTGGTGGCGCATGCCTTGTAATCCCAGCTACTTGGGAGGTGAGGCAGGAGAATTGCTTGAACCCGGGAGGCGGAGGTTGCAGTGAGCCATGATTGTACCGCTGCACTCCAGCCTGGACCACAAGAACAAAACTCCATCTCAAAAAAAAAAAAAGAAAAAAAAATTCTAAAAAAATTCAGATGGTGGCCGGGCGCCATGGCTCGTGCCTGTAATCCCAGCACTTTGGGAGGCCAAGGTGGGCGGATCACGAGGCCAGGAGATGGAGACCCTCCTGGCTAACACGGTGAAACCCCGTCTCTACTGAAAATACAAAAAACTAGCCGGGCGTGGTGCCGGGCGCCTGTAGTCCCAGCTACTCGGGAGGCTGAGGCAGGAGAATGGCGTGAACCCGGGAGGCGGAGCTTGCAGTGAGCCGAGATCGCGCCACTGCACTCCAGCCTGGCCCACAGAGCGAGACTCCGTCTCAAAAAAGAAAAAATTCAGATGGTATATGGTATGAATCATTATGAAGACAAAGCAGGGTAATATGACTGTGTTTGTGTCTGTGTGTGTGTTTAGTGCTTTAGAAGTTCTATGTGAGGACGAGACATTGCAGCAGAGAGTTGAATGGCAATAGAGAGCAAGCCAGGAGGAAAGAAAATTCTAGATAAAAGGAACAACAGGTGCAAGGTCCTGAGGCAGGAATGTGCTTGGTGTGTTCAGGAATGTTAGTGTGACAGGGGGTGAGAAATAGGGAGAGATATATCACTTGAGATCAGGGAGGGGAGCAGAGACCAAATCAATTAGGGTCAGAGTAGTTTGTTTTTTTTAATGGAGTCAAGGTCTCACTCTGTCACCCAGGCTGGAGTGCACTGGCACAATTATAGCTCACTGCAGCCTCGAACTTCTGGGCTCAAGCAATCCTCTCACCTCAGCTTTCTGAGTAGCTAGGATTAGAAGTGTGGGCCACCACACCCAGCTAGGGTCTGAGTTTCATCCCAAATGCAATGGGATGCCATTCGAAGCTGTCTAGTTTGGAAGTTTTTTGTTTTTTGTTTGTTTGTTTTTGAGATGGAGTTTCACTCTTGTTGCCCTGGCTGGAGTGCAGTGGTACGATCTCAGCTCACTACGACCTCTGCCTCCTAGGTTCAAGAGATTCTCCTGCTTCAGCCTCCCAAGTAGCTAGGACTACAGGTGTGCACCACCATGCCCAGCTAATTTTGTATTTTCAGTAGAGACGGGGTTTCACTATGTTGGTCAGGCTGGCCTCAAACCCCTGACCTCAAGTGATCCAGCTTCCTCGCCCTCCCAAAGTGCTGGAATTACAGGTGTGAACCACCGCACCTGGCCTAGGTTGGAAGTAACATGATGTAATACATGATTTTTCAAGGATCCCTCTGGCTACTGTATAGGGAGTGCCTTATAGAGGACCAATGGGAGAGAAGCAAGGAGAGTAGCTAGGAGACAGGTGCAGTTGCTGAGGCAAAAGGCCATACAGGTGTGAGCATTTCATCTTTGGGTTCTCAGCATCTAACACAGTATTTTGTTATTTTTATTTAACACATATATATATATATATGAGATGGAGTCTCACTCTGTCACTCAGGCTGGAGTGCAGTGGTGCAAGCATGGCTCACTGCAGCCTTGACCTCCCCTACTCAGGCAATCCTCCCACCTCAGCCTCCTGAGTAGTTGGGAATACAAGCAGGCGCCACCACACCAAGCTAATTTTAAAATTTTTTGTAGAGACTGGGTCTCTGCATATTGCCAAGGCCCGTCTTGAACTCCTGGGCTCAAGCAATCTCTCAGCCTTCCAAAGTGTTGGGATTACAGGCCTGAGCCACTGTGCCCTGATGGAAAGGAGATTTTTTTTTTTTTTTTGAGACAGAGTTCCACTCTTGTGGCCCAGGCTGGAGTGCAGTGGCATGATCTTGGCTCACTGCAACCTCTGCCTCCTGGGTTCAAGTGATTCTCCTGCCTCAGCCTCCCGAGTAGCTGTGATTACAGGCGCCTGCCACCATACCCGGCTCATTTTTTGTATTTTCAGTAGAGACGGGGTTTCCGCTATGTTGACCAGGCTGGTCTGGAACTCCTGACCTCAGGTGATCCGCCCGCCTCGGCCTCCCAAAGTGCTGGGATTACAGGTGTGAGCCGCCGTGCCAGGCCCGGAAATGAGATATTTTATTTTTAAATTTTTAAATTTTTACTTATTTTATTTTTATTTTTTATTTTTTTTGAGACAGTTTCGCTCTTGTTGCCCAGGCTTGAGTGCAATGGTGCCATCTCGGCTCGTCGCAACCTCTGCCTCCCGTGTTCAAGCGATTCTCTTGCCTCAGCCTCCCGAGTAGCTGGGATTACAGGCATGCGCTACCATGCTCAGCTAATTTTGTATTTTTGGTAGTGACCAGGTTTCTCCATGTTGGTCAGGCTGGTCTCGAACTCCCGACCTCAGGTGATCTGCCTGCCTTGGCCTCCCCAAGTGCTGGGATTACAGGCATGAGTCACTGCTCCTGGCGGAAATGAGATATTTTAAATAACATAAGTAAACAGAAATATATCGTGATTTTAATGGTAATTCATGCTCTGAAAAGGAAGAAAGGAATAGGAGTAGGGAAAGCTGGGATCAGAGTGGGCGGGAAGTTAAATAGAGCAATTAGGGAAAGCCTCACTGAAGAAGTGACATTTGGACAATGACCGTGGGGAGATTAGGGAATGCGTTATTTGAATTTTCTGGGAAAATAGTGTTCTAGGCAGAGGAAATAGCAAGTCCACGATCTTTAAGGCCAGAGTGTTCTAAGCACATTGGAGAGGCCCAAGAAGTCCACTGTAGCTAAATTACAGAAGCGAGTGGAAGAGAAGAAGGTGATGAGTTTAGAGAGAGAAGGGGAGGGCAAGAGACAGGCTGTACGGGGCTTTGCAGGTTACTGCAAGAATTTTGCAGGAGGGACATAAACTGACTTGATTCTTATCAGGATCCCTCTGGCTGCTGTGTTGAGTATAGTCTCTAAGGGGAAAGAGGGAAGCAGGGAGAACACTGAGGAGGCTGCTGCAGCGGTCCAGGTGGGAAATGGTGGTGCTGACCGTGGAGGGGGTAAGTGGTCAGATTATTTTATTTTATTCACACTCAACATATCTAATACTGATTCAATATTATCTAACACACGGTCTACATTGAAATTGCCCCCCAGATTCTTTTTACATAAAAAAATCATCCTGAATCCAATCAAGTCTCACCTATTGTGTTTGGTTTTCACCTCTTTCATGCTGTCATATTTTTAAGACTCCAGGCTTGATGTTTTGTAGAATGTCCCATATTCTGAATTCGTTTATTTTTTCATGGTTAGATTAAGGTTAGCTTTGTGTGTGTGTGTATGTGGCAAGAATACGACAGAGGTAGCAATATGCTTTCCTCACTGCATCATATTAGGAGACACATAACAACAGTCCTGACCCATTTACTGGTGGTGCTAAGTTCCATCACTTGGGTAAGGGGGTGCCTGCCAGATCTCTCCATTTTAAAGCATAAATACGCTGTTCTTTATTGTAAGTCATAAATACGCTGTGGGATGATACTTCGGGACTAAATATACCGTGAATATACTGCTGCCCAACAACATTTCATCCAGCGACTTCAGCAGCTAAGGAACAGCCTCGTGGCTTCCGACCTTGTGCCTCAGTTCGCTCATCTGAAAAATGAGGATGATCATGGTCCCTAAGGGATGCTTGTTTTGAGGATCCGTGCTTGGCATACCAGAAACGCTCCACAAATGTTAGGTATTACTGGACGAAGGCAAATATGAAAAAAATTAAGGGCAGGGCTAGGGCTGCATTCCGGTTCTCCGGATCCCGAGGCAGCTCCCAGTTTCTGCTGGACGAAAGCTGCCAAACGATCCCACGTGGCCACGCCCTCCGCCGCGGAAGCCAGGGTGGGGACGCTGGAACCCTGGGCCGGCCGCGCAAGGCCCCCTGGGACCGGTAGTGCTGGGCGTGGCCTCGGGACTACATATCCCAGTGGCCCCCGCGCGGCGACTTCAGCTGCCGCCTCAGCCCCTCCACAGCGACGGCAGCGGCGGCGGCTGAGTCGGTGGCGGCGGCGGCGGCTGCGGGCTGAGCGGCGAGTTTCCGATTTAAAGCTGAGCTGCGAGGAAAATGGCGGCGGGAGGTGAGTGGAGATAAAGGAGGAGGCGGCGGCAGGCGAGGGCGTGGAGTGCGAGGCGGAGGGAAGAGGGGCGAGTTCCCCAGGCTGCCAGAGCCGGCGGCTTCAGATCTGCCGAGACACTGAGGGGCGCGCCGGCCGGGGGACGCACTGAGGTAGTTTCAGGGTGTCGGGGCCGCGCCGCTTCCCCTCAGCTCGGGGGGCGGCCCGCGGCGGTCGATGGGAGACGAGGCTGGGTGGCAGCCGGCTTGGGGATCCGAGGGGGTCCCCGCGCGGAGGGGTCACCCGAGGAGTTTGCGGGGGGACTGCAGGGGCCCACTTTCCCCTTCTGTCCGTAAAGTTTTTTCTTCCTCTTGCCTCCCCCAGCCCTTTTGAAAGCTCCCCGCGTCCTCCTCCTACTGCCCCGGCTCCTTAGCAGCTATTGGGAAGCACGGGAGGGAGAAGCCGCGGGGACCCCCCCCCCAACCCCAGCCTCCCAGCCGGGTGAGATTTGGTTGCTGTGTTTCCTCCTGCACTTGGGCATTTAAAAAATATTTTAACACGAATTGTCCGCGGAATTTTCTTGGTGGGCTCGGGTAGGTTCTTAGTTTTCTCGGTAAAAAGGCGTTTTACTACCTCTGGTGTGAAGGCTGGGAAATGGCAAGTGGGAAGTTGGTTGATTAAATTTGGGGTTTGTCTGTCTTTATTACTACTTTTTTTTGCTCCCCGTCTCTTATTTTATGAACATCGACTCAGTTCGTCATGGTTTAAATAAACTGCTTGTCTTGTACCTGCCTTAACAAAACTAGCCATGGGTCGTTGGGAGACTTAGTGGCTTCCTAGGCAGTTTGAGGGCATCTAGGGTGGGAAAGTTAACCGAGAGAGCAGCCGTGAGAGAGCGAGCATCTGCCTCACTAGCAGGAGTTTGGGATTCCCAAATGGAATGACAGGGAAGCTATGAGATTCTCTCGAAGTCGAAACTTTTTTTTTTCCCCCCTCCCGAATGCGAAGACTTCCTTTTTGCAGTATTTGAGCAGGGCTTCAAAACCAACCTGTTTTTGTTATTAAGCCTGTACGGTAAAGAAACAGGAAGGAGAGTACCAGCTGTCTTGCTGCAGTGGTTATAAATGGAGTTGAATGAGACGTGTGAGAGTGGTAGTAGTATTGAGTAAGATTGCTGCATCTCTTTGATTTAAATGCCTGGCCTCGGATCTGCCTGACTGATCCCTGGCTGCAAAAAAGCTTCAGTATTTGTTGCAGCAGGTTGTTGAGAAGGTGATTGGAGGAATAAAAAGCTTAGGTCTTCAGCGAATGCTGCACAAACGAAAATGTTAATGGAAACCTGTAAGTTTGTGAATTGTTTGTTCTTGGAAATATTTTAAATGTATGCTCATTAAGAATACGGTTCTACCGCATGATATCCAATTGGAAAGGTACAAACACACTGAAAAGTGAAATCTCTTTCATGCCAAACCTCCCCTTCTCGGAGGCGAAGACTGTTATTGGCTTTTAGAATATCCTTGGTCTTTGGAATAATTATTTTAAGATTTTCATTTGAAACCACTTCTGTTGGATACCAAAAGCAGGGAAATAAAATGAACAGAAGAAACAGAAAATGTGGGAATACTGTTTTTGCTCTCTTAAAAAAAATGTTGACAGCTATTGGAAAAAGCTCTTCTGAACTTACTCTTTATGTCACCTTATCTATTAATACCGTTAAAGAAATAACAATCTGTGGGGCTTTAGGATAAAGAACTCTGCCAGGGTTCATTGTTTGTATGTAAAATGAAGCCTCTGCTTGTAACATGTAAAATGATATTGAACACTATAGCTCCTGTCACTAGAGGTTGCTTCAGGTTCTGCATTTAAATGAGCAGTAATCTAAATTGCCTGTGATCCTAAATTATAGGGGCATTTTATATATAGATAGAAATGACTTAATTGTCCAATCAGCATTTAAAATAAAAGAGGCATACACCAGCTTTTCCCACATAGAAGATGGGGATTGTGGACTAAGCAGGAGGCTGTAATATTTCTAGAGCAATTATAGGAGATGTTTCTACCGTATTTAACTACAAAGGCTTTGAAAATGTACAACGACTTGAGCATCAATAGCAGTATTTATATTTTTATATTTCAGAATCGTTGTTTTAACAGTTTGCCAACACTAACAATTTGTTAAGGAAATTCAGTGATATTAGAGCTAGGTTGTTAAAGATTATATTAAATAATTTCACTATATTTTGAAAATGATTATGCTGTGCATTTCCTTCTTTGTATACAAATTATTTCTAAAAAGTGCCACCCACCTCCTAAGCAAATAAATTCAAATTCAGTAAGGAGTGAAGTACTGTTGCACCTGGGACCCTTTTTCTAGGCGATATGCAAATAAAAAGTAGTTTAAAAATGGTTGCTTACTAATGTCTTCTTGCTGGTCTTTTGAAATAAGGTTTCTTGCAGGGATATAAGAAATAAGGTTTCTTGCAGTTTCTTAAAGATAAAAGCTAAGTGTGGCTTTTCTTTCTTTCTTTCTCTCTTTCTTTTTTTTTTTTTTAATGAATTAAGTTCTTCCTGCTGGGCGCAGTGGCTCAGGCCTGTAATTCCAGCAGTTTGGGAGGCCGAGGCAGGTGGATCACGAGGTCAGGAGTTTGAGACCAGCCTGGCCAATATGGTGAAACCCCGTTACTGCTAAAAATACAAAAATTAGCCGGGCGTGGTGGCAAGCACCTGTAGTCCCAGCTACTCAGGAGGCTGAGGCAGAAGAATGGCTTGAACTGGGAAGGCAGATGTTGCAGTGAGCCGAGATTGAGCCACTGCACTCCAGCCTGGGCGACAGAATGGGACTCTGTCGCAAGAAAAAAAAAAAATTCAGTCTTGTGCATTAACAGTATGATTCTGGAATAATTCCTTTTAACTTGGAGTACTGTAATTGAAAAGTCTTTTAAAAAATAATTTAAAAATAAATTTTTAGTTTGGACAATAGGGTAAGATTTAAAAAACTCTGCTATTGTCCTATCCCAAATTGATGGTTAAAATAAATGGCTTTGGGGTTTGTTTTTGCAGGCAGGGATAGTTTTTTTTCTTTTTTGAGATGGAGTTTTGCTCTGTTGCCCAGCCTGGAGTGCAGTGGCATGATCTTGGCTCACTGCAACCTCTGGGTTCAAGCAGTTCTCCTGCCTCAGCCTTCTGAGTAGCTGGGATTACAGGCATGCGCCCTCACGCCCCGCTATTTTTGTATTTTTAGTAGAGTCAAGGTTTACCATGTTGGCCAGGCTTGTCTCAAACTCCCACCCTCAGGTAATCCACCTGCCTTGGTCTCCCAAATTGCTGAGATTACAGGTGTAAGCCATCACGCCAGCCTGCATTTTTAAAAACTATTTAATTTCACACTTTGGCCAGAGGAGGTAGAGTACTTTTGAAAACTTTTAATTTGTTGCAAGTTTAGAATGCATATAGCGGCCAGTGACTTTTGGTCTACAACAGCAAATTTGTCACAATTTAATACAATTGTTACCCTGTAAAGCTATCTAGGACAAAAAAAAAAAAAAAAAAAACAGGACTTGTTGATCATGATTGAAGAGATTACCTGTACCAGTTTGGTTTGCATCCTTGGTATAAATTTTTTTTTTTTTTTTTTAGCATTATTGAGCAGTTAAAGCTCTGAGAGCAGAAAATTAGTATTGGAAATATATGTTAACTTTTTCTTCTTTTTTTCTCATACTTCAAAAGATTGAAAAACAAGGGGACTATATGTTGGTTTGGATTCCCAGGAATAGCTTTGAAATTGAGTGCTGCAGTAAAGTGTAGGCATTTTCTCCTTTTTTTCTTTTTTTTTTTTTTTTTTTGAGACGGAGTCTCACTTTTGCCCAAGCTGGAGTGCAGTGGTGATCTTGACTTACCGCAACCTCTGCCTCCCAGGTTCAAGCGATTTTCGTGCCTCAGCCCCCACCCGAGTAGCTGGGATTATCGGCGCTTGCCACCATGCCCGGCTAATTTTTGTATTTTTAGTAGAGATGGGGTTTCACCATGTTGGCCAGGCTGGTCTTGAACTCCTGACCTCAGGTGATCCACCTGCTTTGGCCTCCCAAAGTGCTGCAATTACAGGCTTGGGCCACTGCTCCCGGCCCATTTTCTCCCATTTTATGAGTGCTTCTTGGGGTTGGGGAGGGGTTACAAAATAAACATGTCTGAGTTAAGGTGGAGGAGGGGCTTTGCGGTAATGAGGCATATGCCATGAGTTTGGTCATGTTTTTGCTAGGTAAATTCATTTTGTCCGTCGTTTTTCTGAGAGGGTTTCTGGGAGAAGATTATTTTGGGTTAAAGATGCAATTTATCCAGAGCCTAACTTTATTTTCAGCCCCTTAACAAATTATGGAATTGAATTTAATTGCCCTTCCCTTTCCTACCTTCTGGTGGAGAGTTTTTAAATGAACAGGAAAATGGCCAGAAGATACACAGCAGGAGTAGAATGGGAGACCTGCAGTGTGTAGAAGGCTGATTTATCCACAAACTGGATAATCTTCTTAGGCTGCATACTGCCAGTACCTATGTTAGCATTAACTCAGTTTGGTAGGTACTGCCAGCCTAGGTCAATTTACAGTGGGGGGCACAGTAATAGGGTTTATTTAACTAACTGTGTAGTAAACTTTGTGGCCTAAAGGCAAAGGAAAGGAGTCTGACCTGACTGGCAAACAGGTTTTACCCATTTAAAATAATATTCTAAGAGCAATTGTCTGGCTTTTTAAATATTTTTTTAGGAACATCTGTGTCTTTTAAAAATTTTCTCTTAATTTTTTTTATTGATATGTTCTAGGAAAGGGTGTGACTTTTTCATCTGTTACTCCTATGAAAAGGTATTCTGTTGAAATGTTTAATTTCCTTGGTTAGAGGCTATGAGTGAGGGTTATGCAGCTTTACTTTTTGGAAACCAGGGTGACTAGATTACTGAATTTAACTATTGATAGCCACATAATGATGAAAAGGGAATATTGGCCTGGGTATCACACAGTAATGGATAATCTGCTCCC